CTGTGAACAGCTGACGATCGGAACGAGCTACCAGCTTCAGGTACCCGGTCGTCCAATAAGGCTGATAGCAGTAGTGGTGAAGGAACAGGTCGACGCTTGGAGTGATCCTCAACTCGTGGCATCGAATAATGAAGCCTGTAAGAATGCGGTAAGTGCTGGGCACGAACTGAGCGGGTAGTACAGAAACCTGGTGTAAGAACTCCACGATGAACGAATGGAGAGGGAAGCGAAGTCCAACAGTCAAAGCGTCAAGGTGCACTAGCACGTGCCCCGGTCGATGCCTCATCGGGTGTCGATTAAATCCAGCATAGTATTCCCTTGGTGGGGGCAATAGCTGGCTAAGTTGTCGTTCGATATCTTCTGGGAGGCGTTGTTTTTTTTGCGGATACGAGTAAAGTGTAGGGGAATGCGGGGTGGCCGTTCAGGCATTCCCTTGTTATAAACCTGGACATCATCACCTGATAGGCATCCATCATCTTGTAGCTGTTCGGTGTGTTTTCCTACCTGAGGATTGCCGGGTTTAGGGGTTTGGGAAGAAGAGCCTTCGGCCTTGTTACCAGCAGATGTTTTACTTAGGCGAATCAACGGCATCTCTTCAGATTCTGAACTAGAGGGGTAATACATAAAAACACTGGAGAAATTCTGGGAATTCTAGAGAGAGAAAGCTTGAAAGTACGCAAGAGAATTCTGGGAATTCTAGAGAGAGAAAGCTTGAAAGAAAAGTGAGGAAACAACAGGAGAAATTAGGGGAAAGCACATCTCTATAAATAGGGAAAGTGCCGCACAAAACCCTAATCCATGAGCAACACGTGGCGTTAAGTGGTTACGATTAATCAGGGGCATTTATGGTTCATTTTTGTGCACGTACCCGAACGGGCTTACAGAGGATCAGTAAAGATCATGGGGGAATGGCTAAAACCTACTTAGATCACCGATTACCGAATGACGAACGGGCTTACAGAGGATTAGTAAAGATCACAGGGACTTGCTGGTTAGAAAAACTGCCAAGTCCTAAAAATTGATCTGAAGCCCGAACGGCTACCAACATACGAAGAAGCCCAAGTGCGAAGAAAACCAAGAAAACGGCTAAGTCCTAAGAATTGATCTGAAGCCCGACCGGCTATCAACGTTGTAAAAGATTATCTGAAACCAGAATGTGCCAAGTCCTAAGAATTGATCTGAAGCCCGATGGCTATCAACGTTGTAAAAGATTATCTGAAACCAGAATGTACTAAGTCCTAAAAAATGATCTGAAGCCCGAACGGCTGAGTCCCAGAAAGAAGGGTGTTTATCCTTAGTAAATTATCAGAACCCTCCAATGCCCGAACGGCAATCATACGGTATTAGGAGTATTAAGTAAAAAATAAAGTCAGAAAATTGATTGTCCTACAAACCGGACCGAATCCCGAATGGTGAGCAAGCATTCAATAAACGCAAAAAAGACAGTATGAGGTGTTTTGTGCAAAACAAAAGATCTGTATTCATTGGTTCTACTGACCGGGAAGTACAAGCTACTTGAAGAAAAGAGAATTACAACGATTAATTAAAAAGTAAACATCTAGATTATTGGCCAGGGGCCATTTCCTCTCCATCTTCATCCTCGTCTTCATCATCATCAGACGGGGGTTCAGGCTCTCTCCCAGCAGCCCGATCAGCTTCCCGTTGCAGATCTCGCTGGAATTTTTCAAATTGAGCTTGTATAATGTCATCCTGGGGAAGATCAGAAGCCTGAACCGGCCTCCGAAGATTGTTTTGAAGTTGGGCTACAAAGGGACGTAGCAGGACCTGGCCGATCTTGGCATAAAGATCTGCAACAATGGAGCCACCCCTGCCGAGAGCCGACCAGCACCTCTAGGAAAACCCTTCAGGTACGCTCCAAAGGCGAACGGAATTTGCGTCCTGGCATGATCGTCCTTGATGATGGAGAATTCATCAGAGGATTTGAATGTTTCCCGGACAGCGGATAGATCCACATTCACCTCATATGGGCCGTCCGGGATGCTGGAAGGCATCTCCTCAAACTTGATCTGTGCGGCCTCGGCAGCGATGACCTTCGCTTGGGAAGCAGCAAGTTGGACCCGAAGGGTACCAAGCTCAGCATCCAGCCTTTGTTTTTCCTCCGCAAAAGCCTTCCGTTCGGCTTCCAGGGAGGTGATGGCAGCAGCAGCGTTTTGCTCAGCAGAGGATTGAGCAACGATTAGTTCCCGTTCCTTGGCCAGACGGGCTTCCCGCATTTGCAAGGTGTACAAACCCATCTACAAAGCACTGTTCGAGAGTTAGTACTGATTACAGAGAATAAAATAAAAACAAAGCGCAAAAGATAATATACCTTCAGTGCGGTCAAGGCCAGGCATTCTTCGGATTGCTCGACCGGCAACTGGGGAAGGGAGAAATTGTTGAACCAGGAAGATGTCGACCAGATCTGGCTCGCGGTAGAACCAGCCCTTTCTAACACCTCATGAACAGGATCCGATAAAGAGATCCGCTCGACCTGACCAGTGATATGGTCGGTATGAGTCCCACATACGTTCGAGGGTTCCCCCTGAACGGAATCGAAGTGTTGGGAGAACTGATGCAGTTGATCAGAACCAAAGCGGTCATCGATCATCATGGCATCATAATGATCCTGACCAGAGAATTGCTGAATAGGCTCCGGTTGCTGAACGGTCGGTGCCGGTTCGGGTTGAGGAGCAGCAGTGGTGGGTGAATCAACTTTTGGATTCCTCTTCATCTTCTTCTTCCTTTTCCCGACCCGCCAGCAAGGAGCACACGGCTGTCATCCATAGTAGCGTCTGGATTGGGAGCTGAAAAAAGACAAAGGGAAATGTTAGTACCGAGCGGCCTTTAGAATGTGAGAAACTAGTAACAAGAAGGGAACGTTTCTCGCACGGGAAGGACCGCCCGGACTATGGCACTTGATTCTCAAAACAAGTAAACCCAAGAGAACGGGCAGTACCTATCCCGGCTTTGACCAGCCGATCGGGAGTCAGGTAGGTCATGATATCACAACACTTGTCCTTCTCCACAGCAAGTACGTCCTTATAAATTTCCTCAGTAAGAACTGGGTCGAGAGTCTTGCGGGGAAAGGCGTTCCATTTATGAGGGATCAACCCGTCCGGGATAGACACGAAGAAAAACCTATCTTTCCATCCCTTGATTGAGGTCGGATTGCCTTTGAATAGGATGTGGCCCGTTCGGGAACTAGTAGCTAGGTACCCATGGGTTTGTTGAGGGGCTACTTTGAAAAATTGATGAAATAAATCTAAGGTCGGCGAAGCACCGACATCTTTACAACGACAGATAAAGCCTGCCATTGCCCGATAGGAGTTCGGCATGACTTGGGCAGGTACAATTTCATAAAAATTAAAAAATGAAATAAAAAAGGGGTGTAACGGAAATCTAAGCCCAGCCCTCACTGAATCGAAATGGACTACGGTCATCCCAGGGGCGTGACGTAGGGGATGAAGCCCAGCGTGAAATCGAAAGTCCACTGGGTCTGGGATTAGGGCCGGGATTTCGGCCCTATTATTGGCGGTCAATTTCTGCCGTCTTGCCCTAATTAAACCTAAGTCGAGGGAATGACGGGGAACATCTTTTGGCCGTCCAACCGCCATTAAGGCCATTTCGTCCTCAGATTTTGTGCCATCAGAACTTTCACCGGAGGAAGATGAAGTGCTAGGAAGGTCCTCCGCCTCAGCCCTGGTATTTGTCGCCGTTTCAGTAGAACCACCGGCGAATGGGACTGTGACGACATCCACAATAGCAGCGTCACGGTCATCTCCATGGGAGGCCATCTCCGAATCAGAAGAATGCTGTTGAGGACTCATCTCGATCGAGCCAGAAATGAGGATAAGGAATAGAGGGAGGAAAGGTACCTGAGCGACGGAAGCTGGGAGAAAATTCAGAGGAAGCAACGATACAAGGGAGATTACGGAATCGAAACCCGAATTTGAAAGGTTAAGGGCTAATTTATAGCCTTGAAACCGCCGTATCAAGAACCAATCAGGGAGCAACACGTCACTAGGAGCTTTTAAGCTAAACGCGTGTCCAATGAAAAGACTAAACGACGGTTACCATGATGAATATGGGGAAATGAAACGGCAGCCGTCAAATCACAGCATGGGGAACTGATTACTTCTGTACCCCGATCGCCATTCGACGGATTGCAACATTGGTATTCATACTTCCTAATGCACTCACTGTTGTTCGAGACATCGGAAGTGGGGGACTTGTGTTGGGATATTGACCTAAAGGCCCAATACCCGGATCAAGAAGGCCCAAGATATCCGGCCCAAGCAACGGGCCCATCACTCTATGATGAATAGATCCAGTAAAGAATTCATGGCGAACGAGATTCGGCCCAAATAAAGGTTGGCCCAGTAAGAAGACATACCGAACGGAGTTCGGGCTATATATCATACTTGGGCCAATTTGACAGCGTCTTCAGCATAGTCCAACATCCCGTTCGCGCAACGAACAACCGGCAAGTGGCCATGTGCAATTAATGCCAGATTATGACATCAGCAAGTGGAAACATGGGTGACCAAGTCGGTGGAGCAACAACCAATCAGCACAGGGCAACCCATGCTCTCCATTAGTATAATAGAAGGTTTAACATCATTGTAAGGGTTAGCATTTCAATACTCAGGCTCTAGAATAGCTTCATTGCTCTTATTTCTTGTATTAAAGCATTGTTTCCGACCTACCGATCGGTAAATTCCTTGTAATCAGACCGGTTAGTTAATACAAGTGAGCTTTCGAGTATTAGTGAGTTCATATCTTATATTTTTTATACACTTTGATTCTGTGTCATTCCTGATATATCCAAAGTTCGTGTCGGGCTTTCGGATCTACGGGATTTACCCTCAATAATTATAATTATATTAATTATAATTATAATTATAGAAATATTCAAATGAGATGAGATCAGAAAAATTGAGATGAGATCAAAAGGATTTAGATTAGATCTGATTTTATCCGAAAAATTAATATTAGATGTGATCAAAACTTAAATGATTCAGATTAGATGGAGAAGGGTTTTTTTTTTATAAAACTTTCATTAGTAACATCTCTCGACCCTTCCTCCATCCAAACAAGCTCGAAGGTGTCAGAGCGTCCGTAGTCGCTGGTGAGTTACCGTTTAGATTAGCAGTGGTTTAAGTTTCAGTCAGCAGCGGGAACAAATCATAAATGGGAACCCGATCGGAGAAGGACAAGGATCTGGAACGCCTGATTCCGGTGGTCGTTGGCGGTGGCTTAGACACTGGGGCTTGTTCCAAATCATCTTCTCCTTCCGATTCCCCGCCATCCTCGTACTCCTCTGGCAAAGAGGTCTCTCTCTTTCTCCCGCACACCCACGCATCATACACCAATAAAAATGTTATTTGTAGTTCATCCTCATCGTTTAATTTTGATATTCTTTTACTCATCTATCATAATATTCTTCGGCGCACAATGTAGACAGGGATTTAATGTTTGATTTCCTTCTTTTTCCAGGCGTTTGGCAAAGTGATTCGTAGTTGGGCTTGGAAAAAGTTCATTACTGGATGGTAGGTAGTATTTGCCCCACATTGGGTTCTTGACAATCTTTCATTGAAATAAATTCCAATTAATTATGGATATGGATATGGATATGACTAAAAGTGAGTTTGTCAAACCAACATGCTATGGATATGAGCAAATTTTTCAGTTGACACAAACCCAATTAATTATTTTTAAACATTTTTGAGCAAATTTACCCAAGCAATAATAGATTCTGATTATAATCGATTGCAACAATAATCAACTATGCATCTAATTCAAGGACCCTCATATTTTAAGCTATCAGAAACAAGCTCTCAATATTTCTAAAGGAGTTTTTTACTACATCGGTATTTTACTACACATCACTTCATGTGTGTGTGCATGTATTCTTTTTCACCATATATATGTATCTTAATGTAGACACACACCTGTGGTAGTGGTCTTCATTGTTTTCTCAAAACTGTTTTCTTGATCTGGCAAGGCATGTAAGTACGAAGTACTAGAGTTTCCTTATGTTCACCTCAGTAAGAGGCTTTGTAATCTTAGGTGTTGTTCTGCATACTGAAGAAGCAGGGCTTTTGTGCTCCCTCTATCCCCAAATTATCTTCCCATTTTCCTTACGCGTGTCCCGATATTATTGTCCATTTCTTTCTAAGGACATCAATGTGGTCTGAATATTCTCTCTTTTAACTGAATCTCAAACAAAGCTTTCACTGTCATAAATCCTATGCTCGGTCAAAGTGCGCATAATTTCCGCACATAGAGAGTAATATTATTGTTATTAATTAGAGTTATTGGACTATTTCTAAAAAGGTCTATGTGCTCACACAGACACATAAGTTGAACTGGTGCTTCGAATACTGTTGATACCCTTTGGAATTGACAAGACTCACTTCTTTTTGCAGTGTCATCTTATTTCCCATAGCCATAACCTTCTACATAACATGGTGGTTCATTTATTTTGTTGATGGCTTCTTTTCTCCAATCTATAGTCACCTTGGAATCAATGTATTTGGTGAGTATCATGTTTAGTTTCTTTGTGTGCATTCCAGGCTTCCAGCCAGGCTAATATATGTCGTATCTACTCAAGAAAAGCATCTCTTTTGTTACTGCCTGACTGAGTTTGTTGCATGGTCGTTGTTGAAGCTATACACATGTTTATCTTTTGATGAGAAAGCACAAGCAATATTGACATAATGCATTTTGGGAATTGACTGATGTGAGGGCCAACAGTTTTACTAGCCAACCTTGATTGTTCCATTATTTCAGGGGTGTTCACAAATTTGTTGAGTTTAGACTAGTTGTAATAATGTAGTGACTACTAAAAGAGAAAAACTTCAAAAATACCCGAGTAGTAAAATAAATCAATCGGGAAGGCAAACACTGTGGGGTTGAAGGAATTTCATGATGAACTTGTGTTCATAAATTTAGTTATTTCTTTAGTCACTTTTTAGTTTACAAAACTTTTACTTTAGGTGGCACCGTATTGATAACTTGTGTATATATGCACAAGGAAGGTTATGATTTATATCTTCCATCGTCCCTCGATGCAAGGTGGAAACAAAGTTATAATGTTAGAAGACACGTTTTCAAGTTCCATAGCACATTCTCATATGTCTAAGGAGGTGAATGAAGCTATTGGGGAAGATTTTGATGTATTCTTTTATTTTCATTCCAAGAATATGATTCTACTTCAATAATAATTGTTATTTATTTTTTTGGCAATTGCACAGGTCTTGGATTTGTTACCTCTATAACTTTCATCTTTTTGGTTGGAGTGTTCATCTCGTCATGGGTAGGTGCTTCTCTACTTGGTTTAGGAGAGTGGTTCATAAAAAAGATGCCCCTCATAAGTTATGTCTATTCTGCTTCTAAACAAATCAGTGCAGCAATTTCACCAGGTAAACTAATTACTGACTTTGCTTTATTATAATTACCATATGGTAATATTTGATAGATTAAAAAGCATGCAGAAAATCACTTTCCCAGATCAGAACTCTCATGCTTTTAAAGAAGTTGCATTAATAAAGCATCCCCGCCATGGAGAGTATGCACTAGGCTTCATCACTTCATCTCTGGTTCTCCAGAAGAGTTCGGGTCCTGAGGAACTCTGTTGCGTCTACCTCCCAACTAACCACCTCTACCTTGGCGATATCTACTTGGTCAATTCCAAAGACATCATGAGGCCAAACCTTTCAGTACGAGAAGCAATAGGTGAACACTAAACTATAGTTAAAACCTCATCTTAAAGTTGTATTAGTATGACTAATATATAAGTGTGAATGTACGTGTGAGATAAACTTTGTCTTTTAGGATGAGTTAGGCGCAATATAATCAAGTCGTGTTGTCCAGTTTGGGCCGAAGGGGTGTATTAGGGTCCAGATAGACCCAATGTAGTAATAATTGCATAATAGTTTTCACAACAATGATACATGTTTCAACTTCTGAAATGATGCAGAAATTGTCATCTCCGGTGGCTTGTCTATACCCAAGTTACTGAATGTAGTGGATGCACATTCGATTCTATCTCCAAGACTTGGGAAATTTGCAATTCCACGGGTTTGATTTCTTGTGGAAAAAGATACTCCTAAAACTGCATGTATCTCTCTTTTCTCATGAGCAGCAGCTATTCACGGACCATTGATTGATGTGGTGGATGACGAGCGTCCTTGGGTTCTTTGATCATACACTGACTGTCACAAACCAATAATACAATGGCTGCGTTTGTTTTTTGGCGATGGGCAAAAATGCCATTCCGACACGCTGCTTTTTGTAGTGTTTTAGGCTCAACAGATTTTGGCGTTTTGGTTTGAAATGCTCAAGACAAACATAGCCAATTTATCTAGACACAGTTGTTCTTTGTCTTTGCATTTAGTATCTAGTTTTTGCCTAGGCAATTTTGGTCTTAGTCTTTCATATGGTCCTGTTGGGTTTGGTTTGGAATCTGGAGCATCACTGGTGGTGGCGGGGGAGACCGGTGGCGGCAGGTTGTTGGAGGAAGCATTCTGGAAATTTCGGCGGATTCCAACAGCAGCAGCGGCAGATCGGCTGGCGGCAGCTCCGATAGCAACTCCTCCGGAGGTATTCTTGTCCATGTTTTAAAAACAAACTCCTAACTTGGAAAATTTAGAAACCTACTCCTATTTTTCCACTTTCTCCATGTTTTATTCCTATTTGAGGAATCATCTTAGGCTTCACTAGGTGGATGCTTTCCTTTATGTTTCCTTCATATTGTGACTAAAAAAGAGTTTCTCAAAAACAGTGTCCAGTCAACTTCAACTGTCAAATTTTGCCGGGATATACCTCATATTGTATATAAGTAGTTTCATATTGTAACCCCTCTTTTTAGCTTATCAACCTTACAAGTTAATTTTTTTTATCAAACACGTAACCTAATCAAAATAAGTAGAGTTGTAGTTATTTTTCTGATTAGATTGGTTAAAGTTATTGTAGAAGACCATGTATTGCTATTTTCATCTATTTTTTCTCTATGCCAATAAAATACTACATCTATCTCAACTTAAGGTTCTCGTCGCAAAATGACACACTTATTTAACCAACTAGTTAATAAACGTGCTATGCGCGTTCGTGCGAATCCCCAAGAAAACATATTATTTTATGATGTTAAGAATGACTATAGACAATTTATTTAGCCCAAAACAATACTCCATGTACTTTACGGAGTATCTCCTATGTTACAAAGTGCACGGTGCACATGTGACATGAGAAAAAGTGACATAAATATTAGTAAATAAATTATTTCTCTCCTTATTTGAATTATTTTATACAATTTCGGTAAGATTTTCTCCACAATCCCAAATTTACATGTGAAAAACTAATACGAACCAATTCTTTTCATTTTCATAACCTACCATAAGTCATTTGAAGAAGCTATAAGCGTTGATAGCATCTTTTAGGCAGGCGAGCTAGTCCTTTCAATATTTCTATCTTATTTGATTTCAAAAGAAAGTAAGTTAAGTAACCATCCTCTAGTAACTCAAAAAAAAAAAATTAAAGCATAATTCGTGTCAAGTAAATTTTGAAATCACCTACTTTTCTATTCTTCAGAAACTTTTTTACATAATTTTGTATTGAGCTATGCTTTAGCTATGTTTAAAAAACCGACCCGGACTGGCCGCCGGCCGGCTCAACCCGGAACCCAGCAATATGGACCAAAATCTGGTTCGGTTAGTTAAAAAACTGAAAGTGATAAAAAACAGAGAAAACCCGGATGACCAGGAAAAACCCGGTCAAGACTCGAACCTGACAAACTCGATAAACCTGGTTTTGGTTGTTTTTTCAAAAAAATAAGTAATTCTTTTTTAAATTTTAATACATTTTTAACTGATAAAATTCCAATTTAAATACTCAAAAAGAAAAAATATGCAATACATTTATATAATAAGGAGTACTTATTTTCTAAAGAATAAATGTCATTTCAAATTGGATGGGTCCCTCAGTTATCCACGAAATTAAAATCTCATATCTATATTTCTGAGATTGTAAATGTCACCCTTCAATTGTCCAAAATGCAGTAAATGTGATCCTTTTGAGGGGTGAAATATACAATATGGGCGAGAGTACATTTCACCACTTAAAGGATCACATTTACAACAATTTGGAGAAGTGAGGGGTGACATTTACAATCTCAGAAATACCGATCTAAAATTTTAATTTCGTGGATAACTGGGGGACCATATATGCGATTTTCCCTTTCAAATTATATCCTACCTCCGTCCCAAATTGATTTGCAAAATTGACTTCTCTTCGTCAAACAGCTTAATTTTATTCACTTAAGTAGGATGTCAATTTTTAATGATATTATGATTTGGAATTAGTAACTTTGAAGAGATTTTAATGTAGTTTCAAAACATGTAAATTTTATTTATTTAAAATTGAATTACTTATCAATAAGGAGGATTTAACTTTAACAAATACGAAGCGTCAGTATATATTTCACTAAGATCAAAATGGAATTTTGGGATATTATGAGGTTGTTTTAACTTTTAAATGTTTACTAAGTATTATCATGAGTTGATTATTATGAAATAATTGCTTTTATTTTAATTTTGTATACAATTCTATGGTTGACCGGTTTATGACATTGACCGGGTTGGCCCGACAGGGTTCGGGTTGACCCGTGACCCGGTCACGTTGCCGGGTCACCTCCCGGTCTGATTTTTTAAACATAGCTTTTTAGAATAATACGAAGTAATACCCAAGGGGCAACCTAGTAATTACAAAAGTGTTACACATTAATTCGGGTGGCCTAAATGTAGTAAGGATGTTTTTACTTGGACTGTTTTTAGTCACAGACCAGGCCAGACTTCCATAGTTATGTAAAATACACAGAGAGCTTAGATTTATTAGATCAGACCAAACTAAAATAGACCAGACCAGATCAGCAAATTTCAGTCCAAATAAAAACACCCTAAGTAAGTTCAATTTTTTGGCAAAAAGCCAACAACGTTAAAATATGTTTTTCTAAATTTAACTACATAAAACAGCATTTATGCAAACATCTAGCAATCAAAGTTAAAACAAAAGGCAAAATCATTTAAACAACATTCTTAAACTCAGTAACTACGACAAATATATGCTTTCATGATTGATATGAAAACAATCAATAGGAAATTAAATCAAAGAAGAAATAATTAAGAACCAAGCAAAGTCGGTGGCAATCTATGAAGAACATATTTACTTCTAAAACTACAAGATTGTGCGCAAATATAGGAAAATAAAAATTAGAAGAGACTGATTAAAAGAGTAAAAGATATCTAAAAACTAAAAATTAGAAGACTATATATATGTTATTTATAGTCGGTAAACTCAAGTGTGAGTTTTCAAATGGTGGTTCAGTCCCTAACCGGTGAGTAAATGGAAGGTTAAAGAGCATTAATTGAATTGAAATTAAAAGTGAAGCTATTGGTGCTATTAAACGGCAGTTAGATAACGTTTGGAAGTATCATTCTAGATTAGAAAAGAAAGAAACTATGCATGAAGTACAAGTGTTTAATGCATAAAGAGATACCAACATTTTTTATATTCCCATTACACCCTTAACATTATTCAAGCTTATTGAGATGTAGAGATAATTAAATAAGATAGTTCAAACCTATTCTGACGATTAGTTTTGTTGAGTAAATAATATAATGATGTCATTGATGATAACTGTGATGTTATAGATCTATTATTTTTAATATTGGATGATTAAATTATCATTTAAAAGTTTTTCAGAAAAATTATCATCTAAAAGTGTTAATAATTTTTTAAAATAGAAATAAAAATCTTTAACTAGACACCCAAAAGAAGCAAGTGAAAATCTTAAGCTGGAATGGAGTTGGTGTCTTTTAAATATATTTTTCATAATTCAGCAAATTCAAACAATACAGCTGCTTCAACCAAAATTTCATCAATTTTTGTCAGTATTACCAAATTGATTCTAAATGTCACTCTATAATACTTTTTCACTGAACAGAATTCACTCTAGACACCTTATCCAAGCTTGGATTTTTGAATCGTATTGATTTTAACAAAAAAAAAAAACTCAAGAAAGAATGCAGATTTACTTCCCCTTTTGCTTTTCATTCGATTTTTCTTGATCACTCGTAATTCAAAATTGGTTGATTGGTTCTGGATTCAGAGCTTGGATTAGGGGTCATCATCCCTTGGCGTCATCCTTTTCTGGTAGCCGAATAGCCCATCTGGCTGGTTTTCTTCACCAGTCGGTGGGGAGGTGCACTATTCTTCGCAGATTCATTTTTTGAAGACCTCTTAAAATTGTGATGTTTTGAGGATGAATTGGGGATCACCTAGCTGAGACACATCCATTGTCACCTCTTTTGGCTTCCGAAAGTTAAGTTTCCAAAAAAAAAATCTTTTCTTCCTTGAATATAGTAATTGTGCGCAAGTCTGGACTAGTTAGAGATTTTTTCCGGAATCCTTAGTCACTGAAAAAGAAAAGAGAAAATACTATGGTGCTCGCTATGACTAGGAGTACGTAATAGTGGTTTGTGATATTTTTTTTTTTTTTTTTTTTTTTTTTTTTTTTTTTTTGTGTTGATCTTTTTTGTGAGGCTGACTGACAATGTTCATCTTCTTCCCCAACATGACTAAGGGGAATAAGGAAAAATGAACTCCTTCATCGAAGGACCATCAGTTTTAAGAAAAGGTGAGGTTGCTATAGGCTCAGAAAAGTGATGGAAGCCAAGGCCAATGCAATTGAGCAGGGTGTTTGTAACTACAAGTCTACAACTACTTCAACTATTGTGCCATCCTCTACTGCCACGACATCTTTGGAAAAGGTCGTTGCAGCGAAGGAAGAACCGAATGTCGTGGCATCTAGAAAGATTTCTCTAGCAATTCCGGATGGTTCTTCTAATGCAACTTCAGCACAACATCTGACATAATTGAGGGGTAGTAGATTGTGAAATAATGGAAAAGGTTACTCCCTGAGGAGCCCTGGCAGATATATTTATATTAGAGAGAGTTTAATGTAAAGTACAATACTGAGCCTCTAATAATTCTATTACACCCCCTCAAACTGTGCGGGAGATACAACGCGCATGTTGTCTTTCAAAAAATGAAAACGTTGACTAGAGAGACTTTTAGTAAAAATATCTGCCAGCTGTAGATGAGTAGGAACATGTTGAACAATCAGATCTCCATGAGCAACCCGTTCGCGAACAAAATGATAATCAATCTGAATATGTTTACTGCGAGCATGCTGAACTGGATTTGCAGTCAAGTAAGAAGCAGATATATTATCACATAATAAATGTACCGGCTCGGAGATAGGCCATCCAAGTTCGAACAGGACTGAGCGGATATGTAGTGTGTCTTGTACTGTGTAAGCAATGGCACGATATTCCGCTTCTGTGGAGGACTTGGACACAGTGGGCTGCTTCTTAGCCTTCCAGGAAACCAAATTAGGACCCAAAAATATAGCAAAACCTGTGGTAGACCGAGAACTATCAGGACAACCTGCCCAATCTGCATCGGAGTAAACAACTACACAGGTTGGCCGATTAGACTGCTGAAGCCAAAGTCCATGATCTCGTGTTCCCTGCAAGTATCTGAAAATTCTCTTGACTGCAAAAAGATGAGCGGTACGAGGAGCATGCATGAACTGAGACACTAAGTGTACTGCATAAGTAATATCTGGCCGTGTCAAAGTTAAATATTGTAATGCACCAACCATGCTACGATACTCAGTAGAATCAGATAATAACTCACCATCAGAAAGAGACATAGTGGTACGGGAAGCTAACAGGGTGCGAACAGGTTTGACAGTATGAAGGTGAAAACGAGCTAGAAGGTCAGTAACATATTTATGTTGAGAGAGAAACATACCTTTAGCTGAACGAATGGCCTCAACACCCAGAAAATAATGGAGATTACCCAAGTCTTTCATAGCAAAATGTTTAGATATAATTGAAATAAATTGGGTAACAGAGAATTCAGAATTGCCAGTAATAATAATATCATCCACATATAGTAATAAATAAATAATAGTATTATTCTGGCGGTATATGAACAAAGAATTGTCGGATTCGCTACAGGAAAAATTATGTTGTAGAAGAAAGCTACTAAATCTATGAAACCAGGCTCGTGGAGCTTGCTTAAGGCCATAAATGGCCTTGCGCAGACGACATATATGATTAGGAAAGTGAGGGTGAATAAAACCACGGGGCTGCCGCATATAAACTTCTTCTGTCAGATTCCCATGTAAGAAGGCATTTTTAACATCAAGTTGTCGTATACCCCACCCAAAAGAAATAGCTAGAGTAAGTACAATACGAACAGTGGTGGGTTTAACGACAAGACTAAAAGTTTCAGAGAAATCAATACCTGCCTGCTGATTAAAACCCTGTGCAACTAATCGAGCTTTATGGCGCTCTAAGGATCCATCAGAATGATATTTAGTTTTATAAATCCACTTACAACCAACAATATTTTTAGAGTTATCAAAGGGCACCAAGTCCCACATATTATTATTAATGAGTGCATTAAATTCATCAGCCATCGCCTCACGCCATTTTAATTGTTTATTTTCCTCAGTAAAACAGGTAGGATCCGCATTGATAGTAACTGTACTTAAATTAAAAATGGTTTTAGGCTTAAAAATTCCTGACTTAGCACGGGTTTGCATGGGATGGTGATTAACTACCGTAGTGGACGTAGGTGAGGTGGTTTCAGGTGAGACATTGTCGGTTGATGTTGTCTGTGGCGTGCTAGACGAAGTATGGGAGGAGAGATGTGATGGTGGGGGGCTGGTTGTGGACGTGAGATAGGAGGAATGGGGCGATGGTACACACGGAGTGATAGGAATACTTGGTGTCCGAGGTGGCGATGATGGGGGTGGTGCTGGTGCGGCCGTAATTGTGGGAACAGGCTGGAGAGGTGGGTCAAGAGTGATATCGGTGAGATGCATAGGAGATGGTGTAGTAGAAATAGACCTGGATGAAACAGACGAGAGAGTTTTAAAAGGATATGTGTCCTCATGAAACCTAACATGACGGCTAACATAGACTCGACCTGTGAAAGGATCCAAACAACGATAGCCTTTATAACCGGATGCATAGCCAAGGAAACACACTGAACTGAACGAGGTGATAATTTATTGACTGAGGTGGCATTAAAATTTGGATAACAGGCAGAACCAAATACTCGCATAAAGGAGTAATCTGGAACTCGGTTAAACATTTTTTGATACGGAGTAAGACCATTTAAGGTAGGAGAGGGTAATCTATTAATAATATATGCAGCAGTAAATATGGCATCGACCCAATAGTGACTCGGAACCGAAGCTTCAAGAAGCATGGTCCTAGTTAACTCAAGTAAATGAGGATGCTTGCGCTCAGCAACCCCTTCTGTTGAGGTGTGTCAGGACAAGATTTTCTAAAATAAATGCCATTAGCAGAGAAAAATTGCTGCATATTATTATTAACAAATTCACCCCCCCATCACTTTGAAAAATTTTAATTTTCTGATTAAAAAGATTTTCAACCAAAGCTTTAAAATTTTTAAAGTGCATGAAAACTTCATTTTTGTGACACATGGGATATATCCAAGTATAACGAGAAAAATCATCAATGAAAACATACATAATACTTGAATCCCAAATTTGAATACACAGGTGACTGCCACACATCAATATGAATAATTTCCAAAGGAAAAATAGAATTATGACTAGCATCCATAAAAGGTAAACGTTGTGATTTTCCTAAACGACAGGCCACACACTCATGACTAAAGGGAGTATGACTACATAAAAATTGTTTTTTCTTAAGAAACTGTAAAGTACTATCACCACAGTGACCTAATCTACGGTGCCACACAGGGCCAGAAGCTAAAACGGAAGCAAAAACTAATGGTGATGCAGACGGCAGATGGAGAGGATAAAGTGGTCCACTACTAGTAGCTCGCAGAAGTATTGCCCCCGTTGCTTTGTCCTTAACCAAGAAAGAATTTTTATCAAAAATTACAGTACAATTATTATCAGCACAGAGCCTTTTAATGAAAAATAAATTATATTTTAACTGAGGCACATGATAAACGGATTTTAAAGTGAGAGGACGACCGGATGTAGGTAAAGCAACATCACCAATATTACATATGGGAAGATGGGCACCATTGGCAACACTAACAGAATTATAGCCGGTGTAGGGAGATTTATTAACTAAATTACCTTCAGATGCAGTCATATGAGCAGAAGCTCCTGAATCAGGAAACCATAGAGCAGGAGTATTGTCACCGGGAGTAGTCAACAGAGCAGGAGACGTCGGTTGTGTGAAACGAGAAAGACAGTTAATGGCAGAATGACCTGCAGAAAAACAAATTTGACAGACAACAGGATGGGGAACAGATCCGAGAATACCTCCGTCTGATGGCAAGCCTGTATGACTACTGTTAGGAACACAGATAGGTAAAGCATTAATATTTAAACGTGACACAGCAGAATTACAAATAACAGTACCCGTAGATGTCACACCCCCTGCAGGAGTACTCGGCTGCCCACCCCCTCCGGGGTAATAAACTGGATGCCCCTGGGGGAACCAATATGCCTGCTGCTGCTGTCCTCGGCCACGCCCCCGGCCTCCGCGGCCTCTGCCGCGCCCACGTCCTCGCCCGCGCTGTGGAGCGCCGTTCTTCCGAGCCTGCCCGACCGGGTAAGTCTGCTGCCCGACCGGGTGAGTGGATCCTGAATTCTGCTGGGTTGGCTGCTGCCCAGACGACTGCCTGGGATATGAAACAGCCGCGCCAAACGCCTGATGAAGGGACTGGGACTCCTGGGAGCGGAGATAAAGGACCCGCTGCTCTAACTCAAGAAGATGATTACGGAGAGTCTCAAACGGGAAATTTTGTCCAAATAAGGACACATCAGTGTATAAAGATTCATACTCAGGTCCTAGACCCATAATAGTAGTTTTTAAAATTTCACGCTGAGGCACAGGGCAATTGATTGTGGCAAGATCATCAGCTAATGTTTTAATTTCTCGCAAATAATTATCCATGGACTGATCAGGTTTCTTTTTAATTTGATTAAATAAACGCTTTAATTCCATAGATCTCGCTAAACTAGCAGACATAAACCGAGACTCCAACCGCTCCCAAATTTCATATGAATGTTTTAAATCACGTACATCGATAAGAACATCCCTAGATAGGGTTGCAAATAACCATGAACAGATGGTTTGATCAATTCTTAACCAAGTAGAAAATTCGGGATTGTGAGTTTGACGGTTAAGAGCATCTATGGAATAAGCAGGTGGTACCTGAATGGAGCCATCAACCATGCCAAGGAGAGCTTGGGACACCAAAAACGATTCGAACTGTGTACGCCAGGTAGTGTAGTCTTCCACCGCTAATAATTTGGTAGTTACAATATTTGTGACATTAGTTGCCACATGTGAGATACTCTGGGCGAGATCTGTGAGGAGTGAGCCAGTCGGGATGGCTGCTGGTGTGCGAGAGGGAGGGATGACAGAGGAGACACCAGGTGTGCCCACAAAAGTGGGACCGGCAAACGATGATCCAGCCGAGAAGGGTGGCGAGTAGAGGCCTGGGACCGCTGGCATGGCAGATGGCTGCCATGGAATTCCCGGATGAAGAGGCTGAAATAGTGAGTAGGTACCGGGAATGTCAGCGATGAACGAAGAAGAGGCTGGCGACGGAGTCACCTGCGGCGGCGCGGTCAGAGGAACGGCGGCGCTGGTGATGTCTACGGCTGCGTCGGTGGAGGCTGATGTGACCGGCGCCATAGTCGAAGAAGTTGGAGCCACGGTGGAGACTTCCATGGAGGAGAAGAAGAGGCCTGCGGCGGCGGTTTGCTGAGGCGCTGCGGAAGCCGTGTAGCGAAACACGGGTTAGGGAAGAGAGAGGAAAAATTTAGGTCTCTGATACCATGTGAAATAATGGAAAAGGTTACTCCCTGAGGAGCCCTGGCAGATATATTTATATTAGAGAGAGTTTAATGTAAAGTACAATACTGAGCCTCTAATAATTCTATTATAGATGAGTAATCTATTACAATTGGAAGTGAAGACACTGATATTGTACGAGGGCTTATTTAACAATTTTACCAAAAGTCTATTTCTCAAACCGAAAGGTTCCTACTATCAATCAGATATGGGGTTTTGTCTTGTCAAGTGTTTTGCGGGAAGATTCCCCGGGTTGAAAGCAATAGGGCTGTGTTCGGTTTGGGTACCGAACCTATTAAGGTTAACCCGAAACTGAACCGATATTTCGGTTATCCAAATAACCATAACCAAAACCGAACCGTTCACAATCGGGATCCGAATTATCGGGAACCGATATTTCGGGTCGATTTACCAAAACCCGAAAAATTAACCGACTTCCCATATAAATAAACAAAATATTGAACTTTTCAATACAATAGGCCCAAGTTTTCAAGACCCCAAGCCCAATGTCACGTTGCCTAACAATCTCATGGATTGTCAGGACTTACACGGTTAGTTACTAAAGAAAGCATCCAATATATAGATGCGTTTGAGGAGAAAACTCTCTTGTTTCTCCGGTGTGGGACAAAGAGTTGTGGAATCAAAATGAAAACCGAGGCTTTGAATTAAAAACGAATCCACCGGGATTCGAACTCAGGACGTCAGTGACACTAACCCGCTTGGCAACCATCCGACTGAAGTGCTTTGTTTGCGTCTTTTGGACTGCATTTTATTTTATATACATTTAGTAAAGGTGATTAACTATAAAATTTATTATAATTCTTATTAATAAACTGTCGGTTCGGTTCGGTTCAAACCGATATATTGGAACCATAAACCGATTCCGAACAATTTTCTTTTCGGGTCCCAATTTTCAGGTCCCAAATTATATCGGTTCGGTTTGGTTTTTTTCCAAAATGGTTCGGTTTTTTCGGTTCGGTTTTCGGTCCAAAATGCCAGCCCTAGAAAGCCATATACAAACTCACTACTAAATGGGGTGTATGATGCAAGATTAAACCCCATGATAAAGGTTAGGTTATCTTTCAATTTCAAAATGAGAATGACCATATTCACTATTTGGGAAAGCTTTGTTTCCAAAAGTACTATCTGAGGACTTTGTGGTGGATGGGGAATAATTTTTAAAGGTCCCTACTTAGGTTAAGTTCCCTGGTTTATCCATGAGGTTGTGGAGCAAGCCGGAGATCAGCGATATTGCCTTTAGAGCCACGGTCCCTATTATTGTCTTTAGACCACTAATGCTTCAATTTTCGATAGTTCTTACCTTCAAGCAAGGAAAGGAAACAATTTGTGTTATATGAAACGTACCCAAATTATTGTTTTCTTTGCAAGGTATTTTGGCATCACTTGTTTAGATGCAAGGTATTGGCGGGCATTGGGAACAAAGAGGGGGGGGGGGGGGGGGTTGTGATTGTTGATGGAAAAGACAAAGAAAAAGCAAAAGAACTTGAGAAAAACAAAGAATCTTCTTTTTTAGGATATGTGGTTGGAAAAAACTGAATGCAAAAGATGACACGACTACTTCATCAAAAGCACCAACCAAAAATCCCAAAGAGAATGTACTCAAGTGCCCCTATGTAGCTAAGGTGAACAATGCCACCAAAGAATTTGTAAATGAAGGTAACACAACTAGTGATGGTGAAGAATTTAAGGAAAAACTTGTTAGAAGCATACATGAAATGCACGAAGAGAATGTGGTAACCAAGATTGAGTTCGATGAGCATGGAATGGGGTCCGTTTATATCATGAAACCGACTGATCTGCTACGACGTATCATTAAGGTAAATGTTGGGCCAAACCTTGAACAAGTGTGGGACAAAGACGCACCTGTGGTCTACCTCACGCCTTGTTGCGTTTACAAAGCTTTCGGGAGTCAAAAGATCCCACTCATGGTATAAATTTTATAAAGTTTTTTTATTCCTACTGTGGCCACTTTCTTTGATGAGAATAGTAGGGAGAACAAGAAAGCTTTCAAAGAGATGATGAGGAGAAGGAAGCATAAAGAAACAAGAGGTAAAGAGAACAGTGAGGTTCATCCCATGGATGACCACTCCTCTGGCTTTGATCGTGCATGAATATAAGGCCCGTTGGTTGAATGTTAGGGTCTTGAATAAAGCTTCAAAGCAAAATTCAGTCTCTACCTTATGTGTAATATTAATGTGTATATTGTTTGTTTTTTGGAAACAAAAATGATGCTTTTAACATTCATGAACCTTGTGGTTGGTTAATAGATGGTCGGGATGGCTCTACACCACAAATTTTGAAAAAATTACAGGTGGACGGATGGGAATAATTTGGAATCCGGACTACCTTGATTGTTGTGTGATTGATGTAGACTAAGAAAAGCAACATATTCACCGTAAGTATGTGTGCAAAACGACCCAATCTACTTTTTACATAACTTTCGTGTATGCATTATATACCGTGGTTGAACATAGGGGATCGTGGGAGCGCCTTTCACACTTGTGAAGCCACATTACCCATCATTGGATGGTAATAGGGTACTACAACTGTGTATACTCCCCCTCAGGGTGGGTTGGGAGTTGGGACAGTCCCCCAACGCTTATCTAATGAAGGATTTGCTTGATTTTAAAGTTTATGCCGGTCTCCAAGATGCCCCCACAACGGGATCCTTTTTCACTCGGAAAAAAGACCCATATCGGCAAAGTTAGACCGTGTACAGGAATAATTTTTGAAGCCTTAATGGCACAACTTGTAAGGCACACTTCGAAGATATGAAACTAAATTTTGGCCATGCCTCGACAATTGTCACTCTTGGTCAAAGTCAAATTCGTAAGAAGAGAACTTTTAAGTTCATTAATATGTGGTTAGATCACAAGAATTTCAAGAATGTTGTAGAGCAAGTCTAGTCCTAGCCAATCGTTGGGACTCATCAATTAATTCTGCCCAAGAAACTGAAATTCCTCAAACAACCTTTAAAGGACCTTAATCGGCTTGAGTTTGGTATATCTCCCAACAGGCTAAGGAAGATAAGGCAGAATTTAAGAGATTGAAGAAGCAATCCCTACAGTCTCTCTTGAATGAGGATGTTAAAGCTCAAGTCATAGGTTCAAAGAAACGGACCAACTTCTTAAGTAAAGCGGAGACCTCGTTCTCCCAGCAAAAGGTGAAGGCAAATCACATCCTTCAAGCAGACAAAGGAACGAAATATTTTCATGTTATGGTAAAAAATAAAAGTGTTAGAAATGCTATACCTTCACTTACGCCGAATGATAGCAGCCTAATGAAGTCTTTGGATGAGGTATCAAATAACTTTGTCAACTTTTTGACATCACTTTTTGGTTCACCTATTACTTGTGACCCAACTGAACGTGAAGTGTTTAGCCAAGGGAAATGCCTTGACCCATCCATGCTTGATAGTCTTACAAACCATATCACCACATTGGAAATAAAAATGCAATGTCTTGACATTAGAAATGAAAAGGCACTAGGCCCAGACGGCTACTCTCAGGCTTTCTTTAAAAGAAATTAGAGCTTAATTGGGAATGACATGATCAATGCCGTTAAGGAGTTCTTTGATTCATGGTGTTTACTTAAGCAAACTAATCACACAGTTATTGCATTAATCCCGAAGACAACCCACTCCCACAAGACGTTTGATTTTAGACTCATAGCTTGTACCAATGTGATTTATAAAGTCATTACTAAGATCATAACATCTAGGTTAGGTCAGTGCCTCCAGAGCTTAATTGATTTGGCGCAAGGTGCTTTTGTGGATGGACGTCTCATGTTTGATAACTTTTCTCTTACCCCATAACTTCTTAGAGGATACTCAGGATGTCGCATATCCCCTAGATGCATGATCAAGGTAGACATACGCAAGGCGTATGACACCATTTCTTGGAATATCCACTATGTAGTCCTTAGGGGCTTGGAGTTTTCCAACCGGTTCATCACATGACAAGGTAGACATACACAAGTCCTTATGTTAATGGAAATTTGCATGGATTCTTTAAGAGCAAATGAGTCCCAAGACAAGGTAATCACGTGTTTCCCTTGCTTTTCGTACTATGTCTCAAATATTTTTCTAGAATGCTAAAATCTCAAACATTAAATCCGTGTACATGATTTAATTACCATGTTTTTTGTCCCCAAATGTAAACTACCCACATGTCTTATGCGGATGACTTCATCCTCTTCTCTAGGGGTGATATAGAGTGAATTAAGATTCTGGTGGGCACACTTAATGATTTTGGAAAAGTATATGAGTTAACGGTCAATCATGAGAAGTCAATTTTTTGGGAGAACTATCAAATAAGCCCTCAAACTTTCATAAAAAGTGCAAATAAGCCCTTTTACAGGGGGCTTTGTCCGGCTGTCGCCATTTGGGGCGGTTTTCGGTTGAATTTTTTGATGATATTTTTTAGCACCTTATTCATTAAGTCTAGTTTACCCATACCAAATTGCAGCTAAAAATTCAATCGAGAAGGCAGTCAAATGATTTTCTGAAATATATTGCGCTGTCTAACTGCGCAGTTATCTTCAAAAATTTATTTGACTTCCTTCCCGATTGAATTTTTAGCTGAAATTTGGTATGAATAAACTAGACTTAATGAAGAAGATACTCAAAAAAATTTATCAAACAATTCCACCGGAAACCGCCCCAAATGGCGACGGCCGGACAGAGCCTCCTATAAAAGGGCTTATTTGCACTTTTTGTGAAAGTTCGAGGGCTTATTTGATAGTTCTCCCCAATTTTTTTGATAGTGTTCTTTATTACTTTTAACATTAATTCTGAGTTAAGTTGATTTTGGTCAAAGTACCTTTCCTATTAAATACTTGGGCATTCCGTTAGCACCTCTAAAGATCTCTGTTGCGCAATATTTCCTCTTTTGGACATCGTGACAAGGTTTCTTAATGCTTGGAATTGCAAAACCTTATCATTTGAAGGGAAGCTTGAACTTTTTCGCTCTATTATGCAGCGAGTTAAATCTTTTTCATTACAAGTGTTCATTGTCCCTCTGACTATTCTAGATAGGATAATAGCCTTGTGCCGCATTTTTCTATGGGGCAGCAAGTATGCAAAAGTGGCATGGGTAGACCTATGCTTTCCAAAGGAGGTGGGTGGGCTAGGAATACATGACCCAAAGTTTGGAACAAAGATCCACTAGCCCGTGCTCTTTGGAACATTCATGCCAAAAGAGATATTATATTCTTTGGGTAAGATGTGTACATAGTGTCTATCTTAGAGGCTAGTCTGTGTGGAGGATTACTTCACACTCAAGAGAATCGTAATTGATGAAGATGTTGGCCTTAATTAGAGACAATATATGTGGATGATTCTCCTCCATAAATGAAGCAATTAATCACTTGAACTCTTTTTGTGTGAATGGTAAAATATCTTCTTCGAAAGTCTACGATCTACTCCTTAAGCGATGTGAGCTTCATGGAATATGATCAAGGTCAGAGAGGAGGTGGATAGTTTTTCAATAATCAAAGGCAAGGTCAGAGTGAAAACTTTCAACATGGAGGAGGTTCGTGGAGGCTCGAAAATTAGAACCAAGGGAAACAGAATGCCCCAAATTACCAAGAAAGTTTCTAGAATTGAGGAGGCAGTTAAAATCTGTTTGTATCCCTCCTCACCTAAGAAAGATTGAGTCAATTCCTGTAAGTAAAACGTTTGAGAAAACAATGGGTAAATTAGCCAAAAACCAGGCATAGAGGCATCAACGTTTCAGTAACTTGAAAGGTTTAATTTGCCACCTCAATAGGATTTCTCCTCGAGAACAAAGGAGCCTTCTGAGTTCAACAGAACCCAATCCAAGTAAACTAGTGCATGTTGTTACACTACGCAACAGGAGAACAGTTGAAGAAGTTAATACCTCGCCACAGCCTCAACAAAAAGATGATTAACAACCTCAAGTCTTGGACTGCCAGGAAGTTGAAGAAGAATTAATAATTGTCCCTATTCCAGCCAAAAGTGATGAAGTTCAGGAAGAAGAACCTTGGAAGAAAGAGAAGAGTAAGATCACTCCACCTATTTTGTTTCCTACAAGAGTGAAGAGGAGCAACGATAACACGAACCTGATCAGATTATGGAGCATCTGAAGCAGCTCCATATCAATGTGTCATTTGTGAAGGCTTTAACAAAGATGTCGAGGTATGCAATGTTTCTGAAGGACCTCCTCACGAAAAGAGGAGGTGGAAAGAGCCAAAAGTGGTGGATCTCAATGCAAAATGTTCGGCAGTTGTTCTGAAAAACCATGCCTCCGAATTTAAAACCTCAGGGAGTTTAACTATCCCTTGCTCTATTGAAAATTTAAGGTTTAATGATGCATTAGTTGATTTAACAACAAGCATTTACCTGGTGCCTTATACCGTGGTCATGAAACTTGGCTTGGGTGAAATATCCGAATGGAATTCTAGAAGATGTGTTAGTACGGGTGGAGAAGTTTATATTCCCTGTTGAATTTGTGGTTATGGACATGGAGGAAGATCACGAGACTCCGCTTATTTTAGGGAGGCCCTTTCTGGCTACTTCCACCGATAAGGTTACTCCTATACTCAAACCACCCCAATTTTGGTGGATGCGCTTAATGATTTTGGGAAAGTATCCCGGTTAATTGTCAATCATGATAAATTAAATATCTTTTTGGGTAGCGTTCTTAATTTTTGTTTAGAATCAATTCTGAATTTAGTTGATTTTGGTCAAGGTACCTTTCCTGTGAAGTATTTGGGCATAATGTTAGCACCTCTAAAGATCTCGGTTGCCCAGTATGCTCCTCTTTTGAACACGGTGACAAGGTTTTTTAATAATTAGAATTTCAAAACCTCATCATTTCTAGGGAACCTTGAACTTATTTGCTTTATTATGCAAGGAGTCCAATCCTTTTCATTACAAGTGTTCCCTGGACTATTCTGGATAGGATAATAGCCTTGTACCGTATATTTTTGTGTGGCAGCAAATATGCGAAACTAGCATGGATAGACCTATGTCTTCCAAAGGAGGAAGGTGTGCAATGAATTGAATACGTGACACCAAAGTTTGAAATGCAGCTCTACTGACTCGTACCCTTTGGAACATTCATGCCAAAGAAGATATGCTTTGGGAACATGAGTGCATAATGTCAACCCTAGAGCCCAATATGTGTGGAGTTTGACTCCACACTCAACAGACTCGCAATTGATGTTAAAGTTGGCCTTAATGAGAGACAATATTTGTAGACGGTTCTCTTCCATAAACTAAGCAATTAATCACTTGGACTCTTATCTTGTGAATGATAAAATGTCTTCTTCGAAAGTCTACAATCTACTATGTACACTTGAACTCTTTTGGATTGTAATTGATAGTGGGTGCTCCTTGCATCACTATAAACTTGAACTCTTTTGGATTCTAACTATAATGTGCACTATATACTATTAACATGTAAAAGCTTTAAGATACACAAAATAAACATAGCACAAAACTGAATTAGAAGAACACTAAAATAGCTTAGAAATTATTTCAATAAATAAACAATTCTGAGGGCTATATATATGTTAGAACAATGTTTTCCGCAAGCCAAACGTGGACTTGGCTCCTCTCCCATCACTGGCACTTTCAATGGGAGGGAGGAAGAGAAGAGAAAGGGGATAAGGAAGGAATTAAGGAAAATATAATGAAGAGAATATAAGAAACATGACCGACATTTGAGACAGGTTTTTAATGCCCCATTCTTTTGATGTAATTTGTTTTCATCCCTTGAATAATTGTAGACTATTTCTGGATACTGGATGAAATAACAAATCACCAATCACCTACTTGGATGTCCTATGTTGATTTCATTATTCCGATTTAGATTTACTTTTATTTGTATAACAAAACACTTTTTGTTTTCTATATAGCTTATTGAAAAACCACAATGTTATGTTAATAGAAAAAACAAAGCATTTTATTACCATATAGATAAAGATGCCAAGTCTAATTTTTTTTACGCTTATCAACATAAAAACACTACTACACGTACTAATAGAATTCAATTCCAAATTTCTAATTGGTCGTACATTATCAGCAAACAACAATCTATCAATATAATGAGAAGTACTAGGGCCGAATGAGGAAATTCAGTTAATATGATTTGGATTGTTGCAAACTGGTTTAATCATAAAAACAAAGTGTATAAAAGCTCCTAACACTACTAGAGAAGGAACATATAAAGTCGGTTATTTTATACTTTTAACGTCGGTTCTGGAACCGACGTGTAAGTGAGAGATGCTATAGGTTAGACCCTAAAACGTCAGTTATTAACCGACGTAAAAAGTTACCTTCCACGCCAGTTTTATAAAAACCCGACGTTACATATATTTTTGAAAAAATAAAATAAATACATGTTACGTCGGTTATTTCACAAACTCAACGTTGAATATAATTTCAAAAAAATAAAAAAATACATATTACGTCAATTCTCTCAAAAAACTGACGTTAGAAGTAGCTTTTTTCAGAAACAAAAATATACATGCACTATGTTGGTTATTTTAAATAACCACCGACCGTTCCCCAAAAAGATCTAAATTTAGAATATTCAAACACATTTACCAAACTGAATACAAAAAATATTTGCAGACAAAGTGTTTAGAATATCAAAACACATATACACATCTACACATCTACGTACAGGATAGAAGGAAAATCTCATGTATATCCATCCCTACACATACATATCAAAACCGACGTTGAATCTTATAATTCTTAAATCCCCAATTTAGGGAACATTGGAAAGTTAGGCATATATTAAGGCAATCTGAAAATTAAATTATCAAAGCATTGAACTTGACAAAGAAATACTAACTACAAATGCTATTGATATTTCTCAAGAATCAGAAACTACGAATCTATACCCGGCCACTCGTACATACAAATTCACTTTCAAATAAAAAGTATACCCACTTGATAAGTCCGTATTTAGACACACATTTGATGCGTGTTGCGATCGGCTTTTGATGGTTTTCCTAGCTTTAAGGTGTTACAAGTCTCAATTTTAGCTCAAGTTATGTTTAACAGGTGTTGGTTCGAGTTTTGTGTCATTTGGAGTCAAAATCAGGATTTTAGAGTTCGACACTGACGTTTGAGGAGAAATCGGGATGAGTTGAGAAGCATTTGAGAATGATTTGAGATCTATGGAGGTCACCGGAAGGTTTACGATGAAGACTTGATGACAAAAGAGCTCTAGGATTGGCTTCGGGATCAAAAGAAGATGAATGAAGCTTGAAAACGACGATCAGGATGACCTTCTGTCAATCGTTCAAGAATATCCCTTTGTAGAAAAAACTAATGGACATGATTCAAGTTGTATATGAAAGAAAACTTCAAGGACTACAAATCATATGAAAACACCATTACGAGAATAGGAGAGCAAGAAGGTGAAAATAGATGATGAAGTCAGATGATCTCTGCTGCGATTTCAGAATGACACCTTCCACC